ACCGACGGCAATTGCCGTCGGTTAATTCGAGCCCTGGTATGCAGGCCCTAGCTGCGAGTACTAAAGTAGGACCTCATAGTCCAGCTTTTAGATGCTGCACCAGGCAGTTAGTTACGCTCATAGGGTCTATGTCCCCCAGGGTATATACTGCCGGAACGTACCCTGGGTACGGTCCGGTATACCAGAACGTACCCTGGTCACTATTTGATATGGTTAGGGTTAGCATTTGGATTAGGGTTCGGGTTCGGGTTAATGTTAGGGTTAGGGAGTAGGCGTAGGCGACTACCTAGACTCGTTAGTGGAGTAGGCGAGGTACGGTACGGTATATTAGATAGTACCAGGGTACGTTCCGGTATACCGGACCGTACCCAGGGTACGTTCCGGCAGTACCCCGGAGGACATAGACCCTCTCAGCGTTAGTTACATAGCTTCCCACCTATTGACCCAAGTGAGGGGAAGCGTGTGCCTAAGCATTCAGCAATGTGTTCACGTGTCTATGGAATAAGCATTCCTAGTAGTACCATGGACTAACTATAACTGTTTATTGTTAATGTTATTGTTATAACTTTTGAGTGTTGTTTTGGAACGGGGTATCACGCTAGTAATGGCACTTTAGACTTTAGCAATTCAGTGGACAAATTACCTGGAGCTTGTTCGTAATGAGCGCGTCAATTCGCGAGCAATGCGAATTAAACATGTCTGTGCACCACTGCTGGCACTGGCTCTGGCACTGGCAGTGACACTATATTTACAAATAACATTTACTACTAGAGAAAAAAACATGGCCCATGAACAGGCATCCCATAGGCTATAGCCATAGTACCGTAGGCATAGGCTTACTCGCTTACTGCTTAGTCTGAGAACACAGAACAAAAAAGGTGGGAACCGGTCCCCTTTCCTACGACTAGCATGGTGCTGAGAGAAATTCTTTTATATTACGTTACATTTTTCTCATTTAAAATTGTTATTCCTGTAAAACTATGGTAAAACTAAAATTTCAACTTTCTTTCTGCTTTCAACCTCTTGCCTTTTATACCTATGCCTTTTGTTATTTCTACCGATACCAGCCGGAAGTTGAATAAGTACCAGCAGGCGCGCCACGTAGTGGGAGAATCTGAAACTACAAGTATAGTAATGACAGGCAATCACGAATCTTGGCGGTCTTGCTAAAAAATGATAAAATTCGTAATCAAGAGCAGGCCCGTAACCAGCGAGTTTTGCGGGGGGGATCGAATTAGGTGACACCCGGAACTCGAAGGCGGAGCCCAAGACCCTCTCAGCGCCTGGACCAATCTTATACTTGCACCGCGGCAGTGCATGCACACTCTCATGAGCTTTCCTGGGCTGTATAGGACACTGATGAAGGCATCTGGCGTGGACGTGCTCATGAGCGCAGCGTTTGGTGGCTATGACCAGCACATCACCGAGGAATGACCTGGAACAAGGCTCTAGGGCATAACCGTCTCATCAGCGCCGTGTTGCCTGCAGATGTTTCTACTCCAAATTGGTGCCACGAGCATACCAAGAGCTGAGTGACTACCTGCCGAGATCAGCCAGAAAAACCCCAACTGAGGAGGCCTATGGGTGACGTGTTCATCAAGCGACACTGCTGACGGTCATGTTCCTGCGTGGAGAGCGAATGTGACTCTTCTCCTCCAGCAGCAACTAGTCTCAAAGGCAATGCTGCCCGTATTTCTTCGCAGGCAGGTCACCACAATTTGCCACGCTACATGACTGGTATGTGCGACAGGATGGGGCGCACCGTTCCCCAGCGTGCCCGGAGAGAACCTACTGGCCAGGCGCACATGTCTGTCGGCATTCTGGCATGGGCGGACGCAGTTCCAGCAGATCAGTTCGCGCGAACAGACACTATATCAAGCGAGGAAGGGTGCTGGCAGGTATGAAGGCATATCGACAGCGCCGCCAGCAAGTGGCTGTGCTGGAGTCAACAGTGTTTCAGTGCTGTGCCCACCTCGACAATCGCCATGGAAGATATGCTACAGTGAAGCTGGGAGCAGGAGAAAGCCACGGTGGTCGAAGTGGATAAGAGAGCGAAGAAGAAACAAGCACAAGGAGAAGGAGAGGGAAGCAAGAAGCACTGGCATGAGGATGCGATCGGAGAAGATCGGAGCAGAGCTGGGCAGAAGTTTACAGCTCACCCCCTCAAATGAGCAGCCATCCAGGTCTCTATAACATCATGCAATGGCCAAAGTGCGCGCCGACACAGTGGAATGTTCAGATGCACTGACTATCGGGACGCTGAGCAAAGCAAGGCAGTTTTCCGCTCACTAAGTAGTGCACTTCCACAAAACCATAAAGAAAATCGGTCAGCAGCAATATGTGACAAGCTCAAGAAGGCAGTCACTGTCAAGGGAAGGCCAATCTACGACATCGAGAGCACTGATTTCTATCGGCTGTTGGTCTTGGGGGGCAGCAGCGGGCGTGGAATCGACCAACCCATCTTCCAGTTTGAACTGAAGTCCAGTCGCAACATCCCTGATTGATGAGTATGGATCGTTTTGAGGAAGGGCAACCAAGGCCGTGCTCGTCAAGTGTCTCGGTGTTTCTGTCAAGGGACTCACACCGCCTCCAGACGTGGTGTTGCAGTTGACGCCGGTCAGCTGCCTTGTACCACGGTTTGTGTGGCCAAGTTCGCGGCCGACCGCAGGGAGATTCTGCCGCGCCAAGCTTTTTGCTCGACTGGCCCCGACTACCCCCCTGGGCTCAAAAAAATAGTCCTGTTCGACAGCGCTATGACAGAAGCTCGCTAGCCAGCAAAAGGAGCATGAGCAGATTGAAGAGGAGAGCCAATGAAGTGCCGCTTGACCCCAAACACACCCTTCCATGCGACAAGCTATTCTTCACATGCCACGAACAAGAGTCTGCTCAAACAACATCCGATGCGGCTACTCTCTGCCTCTCACAAACACCCAGCCTTAGTCAACAAGCTGCGACTTGTCGTCACCGCATGCTGGAGGCAGGACATCACTCTCTGCATGCTACATGCTGAAGGCGGTCAGAAGCAAGATGCCCCAGACAATCCGCATCCTCAGTGATGACACAGACGTTCTTCGTCCGTCCTGGGTGTACTGGACCGATCAAGGATGCGGGTCATTTCCAGAATTCAAATGCGAAAAGTGGAATGGTCGATGTCCTGCCGATATAACAAAACTGTTGAGCGGTTAGGCCCAAAAGTCGCAGCCAGCTTCTCGGTGTCCATGCCCTGTCGGCTGCGATACGGTGTCGTACCCCTTCGCGAAAAGGAAAAACAGTCTAGCACTCAAGCTTTCTGGAGATTGATATACCAGGTGACGGCGATCAAGGCTGGAACGAGCTTGGCGCGACCCAGCTCAACTCAAAGCGACAGCAGACAGCTTCTTACTCTTCCCTCTCGACGGAGCAGAAAATTGTACAACAATGAATAGATGCCACGTACTCGCCTCTTACCGCAGCCATAGAAAGTCGCCACAACTGAAGACAACTGCCACCGACGACGTCAACCTGGCCCAGCCTGCCATGTGTCCAACTCACCTATCAGATGCTACTGTGGACGGCCAGCAAACCAACCGTGACCCACCTGGAAGAAGCGTCTACATATTATCCAACTTTTGGTTGGATACAAAAGCTCACCATCACACCGCACCATACATTCAAGCAGCGCCAGTTGCTCCCAAGCGCTCCTGATGTAGTAGCTGCCAGCTGCAGCAACAGAGGCAAGGACATGCAGCGAGGGCGGAACGTTGCAGCTTGCAACCGCAGCCTTTCATGCACAGATTATTGCAAACTACGAGCGTAGCGAGTCGCCTGTGTAGTCAATTCACGAAAAATCAGAATGCGACACCGAAGACAATGAAGAGCGCTAGGTGTAGATGACGACAATCGACAATGATGATGATGGCGGATTGAGGAGTAATGAGGATGAGAGTCATAGGAGATCTGCTGACAACTACTGTTTATGTGTACTGTTTAGGGACTGTTGCTATTTTCTCGTTGAATTTACATTAAAGTGTCTTATTTTACGTTGACCCTTGTTTTGAACTTTGACCTTGACCCCATTTTAAATAACTCCAGGAATGGACTCCCCCCCCCTCCTCGAAACCCCTAAAAGATAGTTATGCATGACACTCCTAGGCGCATCGAGATCACAATTGCTAAATTGCACCAAATCCAAGATCCGACGGCCGGCGGCCATCTGAATTCCAAGAAAATGCTCAAGATGCACAGCGGAGCCAACCAAGCTAACATCAGCTCGCCTAACTATATAGAACACATTTCATGAAAAAAAGTTCAAAGATAATTAACAGTGCGGCCGTCAACATTTATGGCAAAACTGGACTACAATAACAAGTACACTAGAACATAACAGTTTTTACTAAAAACATGTTGCCACTATTCGTCGTAGTGTTAAACCACAGTGTACATATATGTGACGTTCCACACAGCCACAACGGGGCGACGGTTGCTTCGAAGTGTAGGCTTTGCGCAAACTTCAATTTGCCTGCAACTCTCATATTCCACATTCTTGCACCGTATCGCGTTGAGGTTAACAGACGACTGAAATTGTAGAAACTTGATGCTTTGCTCTACACCACATACCTCCTGGCTGAAAGATCGTCGTTGTGTCAACTGCGGAGTATAGTGTTATTTTAAGCAAGTAACCAAGCAATAATAATAAGGAATACAATATAATAATAAAACTCATAATACGATAATAACTACCAATACGTAATGCCACGTAATATTGCGTCACCGCCGACGTGGCCTACTCACTAACAACTATCAACAGGTCGCCTACGCGTTACTTCCGTAACGTAACCGATTACTAACTCGGTCCGATTTTTCATCGATGTTCACCGAAAACTCGCAAATCGCCCCCCAGTTGCGGGCTCACCGTCTTGTGGCTTCTACTTTGAAATATTTGTGACCGTTTTTCGTAGTTAGCTCACGATATTCGAGTGAACAGATGACCATTGTGTTTTCGACAGCTTAACTTTACTCGCCTTCGCAGCGTATTCGAGGCTACAACAATACGGAGTACCATGCCATTGTAATCAAAAACACCACGAGAATGTACTGTTTTCACTCTTACTTTTGTTCATTTCCCTATATCACCTTGAAATTCCAATTCCAATGCACCTTGCGCCAGTCTCATTGTATTGGCCCTAAAATTGTTCGCTCTTCGCTGGCAGCTATGGATCCGTGCGCCGACGCGATGCATTCGGCCGCCGACGGATCCATAGCTGCCACAGTGTCGTAGTCGGCGGCGACGTTGGCCGCGCGTCGCGTGCGCCTTGGCCGCGACTGGCCGAGCGCCAGGATCTCGCGCGTAATAGCCGCTTTGGATAACACACTCCTTTCGGCGACGATTCTCTAGTATCCCGTCTCATCTGGATCCATTTAGTACCAGTCGGACCATTATATATCATCATTGTTGATTTATGTATTATTCGGGTCCGGGGTTTTATTCACGCGTTTATTTGACGCATGCAAGCGGACGTGTGTGTGTGTGAGTGTGCCTACGCAGGCGATCGATCGATCAGCGGTACATCGAAGCCGCCGCGTCACGCGTTGCCCTTAATTGAGCTCGGGTCCGTGTCCGTCGGCGATGCTGGTCGTCGTCCTCCTCCGTCACCAGCTCCCTTCTCCCCCTCCTTTCTCCCCTTTCTCCTTCTCACCAGCCTTCTCCCCCTCCTCCTCCACAGGCTTCTCCCATTCCTCCTTCTCACCACCTTCTCTCGTCTCCCCTTCCTCCTTCTCCATAGCTTCTCCCCTCCTCCACACCTTCTCCCTTCTCCCCTCGTCCTCCCACCAGCTCCCTTTTGCTCCCCTTCCCTCTTCTCCACCAGCTTCTCCCCTCCTCCTCCCACCACTTCCTCTCTGCTCCCTTCATCCTTCTCCACCAGCTCTCCCCCTCTCCGTCCACCGCTCTTTCTCCCCCTCCTATCCTTCTCCCTTCTCCCCCTCTTCCTTCTCCCCTTCCTCGCTTCTTCCACCAGGCTTCTCCCCGCCTTTCTTCGTCCACCCAGCTTCTCCCCCTCCTCCACGCACCTT